TATCAAGAGTAGTTATGAAAATGAGGTCTTTCTACTGCCATCGAGGAAAGAAAAAACCCTATACTGATGGTTAGAGGCCCCAAGACCCACATAATACAACATTTCCTTCTGTCCCTGTTCCCAAGCCTCCTGGTTCCTGTCTTAAGTCATCTTTTAAAGGTAAAATTTCCAAGACAGAAGCCATGTGACTTAAGAAGTGGGATTTAATTTAGAATATTTACTTTTAGTTACAATAATTTATAGAAATTTTTATTCCAATATACAAAATATGGGACAGCCATCCCAATAATCATGTACATAGTTACATAGCAATCGGCCACCATTTACAACTTAAACCAGCCCTGCATTTTAATCACAGTCAACCAACATACAACCTCACAATGCTTTCTTCATGGGTCACTTTTCTTACTTACTATACCTGTATTTTTCCCCCAACCCTGACCCTAAATGCTTTAAAAGTATATTGAGTTTCTTCAAAACATTTTACTTAGATCCAGCTGCATTAAGAAGAAAAAGTAAAAGTAAAACTGTCACCCCACAGTCCCTCCCCTGACAAATCATACTATGAAGTATGATGTAGATGTGAATAAGTATGTGATTACCAGGAACTCAACACACATACTAGAACTTGCTTTAATATGAAATGTAACTTGGCTTTTACTGCATGTTTTTTCTTTAATGCAAAAATGTAAAAACAAACACAACGTAGTATTTCAATGCTGTACCTTTATGCAAATGACTTCATCTATCTTTTCTTAAACATGTTGTGATACAGCTAATGTTAAAACTGACACAGCTTCACTTACCTCTTTTTCTCTGTACTGAAAGCTGCAGAAATACAGCTTTAATTCCAAGACAATTTGGTTTAAGCCCTCAAAATAAAAAGAGCGCATCCACTTTCACTGCCCTGACTTTCCCCACATTGTTGATTGTGATTCTCTGTGGCATGTTGGTAGATAAGGCTGGCTATATATAATTTGTACAAAACATCTCTAGCCAGGGTAAGGCTTTAGAAACTATCTTAAAAAGAAACTTGTCAAAATACTTTTGATATTTAGTACAAATACTATTATTATAATTTTCTCCCAGCACATGTGTTTAAGCAGCCCAATTACCTAAGTGACCCTGTTAAAGGTCTGCTTATGGAACAAATAGGTGAAGTCATTTCCTGAGCCAAAAGATACAGATAATAAATGTTAATAATAGCAGCAGACTAAAAAATTCCTTTTTGTTGTTTGTTTTCCATAGTCAACAGTTTTAGCAAAAGAACTTTAGCAAATGACAATTTTTTTTTTAAATTTACTGCCTGAAAAGAATTTAATAAAGAACATCCAAGGCCTGATTGCTATTATTCTGAATATAATTTTCAATAATTTTCTGCAAGTTACATTCGGCTACTGTCAGACAACTTTCTGATGCATGGAAAAACGTCCAAAAAAACTGCGACGGTTTGCATACATTTTATGTTACATATATTATTTCTTAAAACCCCCAACAGAATGAAGTCTTAGCAAACACAAATTTTAATTTCTGAACACCCTTCCAGTAAGATTGTAAAGGTGCGGGGAAGGGGAGGAAGGATTTGTTTTTTGTATTCCTAGTCTACTTGATTAAAATTTAATCTTCAAAGGGTTTGTTTAGCTCGCTATCCAGGCTACTAGGGTTATGATGAACATTATTACTTCTTTCCAGGGTAAAAAAATGACATCTGAAAATAACATATATGCTATGACAAGATTTCCCAAGCATGACCTCAACTTGAAACATTAGAATACTTAAGAATTCTAAAGATTGGTATACCACCACTGCACCAGAATTTTTAATTATTCCAACAACTACAGGAATTTTTTTATAGTTTTTTAATTTTATGAAATTAAAGCTGAAGAAAATAACTGATTTAGAAACCATAACAAAAGGACAAATACTTAGCCAGAGATATCAGTTCCTCCTGAAAAAGGATATTTACCTCCTCTCACTGCAGTTTTTCTCAAGGTATCTTACTGATTTCAGATAGAATTTAAAATTCACCTTAAAAATAGAAACAAACAAAAGGACTACTTAAACTGACATTAACTGATAAAAATATGTTCAAATTTACTGACAGAATCATGGGCACTTCATACAATACTTAGACTCTACCAGTTTTAAGTAAAATAAATAAGGAAAAAATTATAATTACAAAGCCAGTCTTTCCCCTTGGGGAAACAAAAAGCCACTTTTGACCAATTGCTCCCTACATATACATACACTGTATATTATTATAAGCTTCTTCAGAGAAGCAAAACATCTTTGTCTTCCCGACACTGGATTATCTAGCATGTTAG